GGTTTTTCCCATTTTTGACCCAAAAAACATAAAATTTTGCAATTTCTTTCTAAACTATTTTGTAGAGCTTAAAAAAACAAATAATTTAGTATAATGAAGCGTTATAATGCGCCTAATAGTTACGGAGAAAATTCCAAAAAATTGTAAATTTAAAATTTCCATGTTATTCTTATGGAGAATAAGTAAACTGTTGTAGTTTGCTTGTTTATTAACATATTTTGCCCAAATTTGGAAAATGTTTTTATTTCTTACCAACTATTACCATTTTACATAAAAAACACTTTTACCCTCCCTGTTGCAGCAAACCTAAGTATGTTTTAAACTGATTCTTTTTAAATGGGGAATAAATGTGATATTTTTAAGGAGACATTTTAGTGTAAATCCATTCAGGGAATTGGAAATTCGCTTAGTCTGCAGGTTTGCTGCGGCGGGGGTATTTTATGCTTAGCTATGAATAAATTACTATAAAAAATACACTTTATTAGTTTCCTTGTAGAAGCAAACCTAGGTACCATAGGCCTACTCATTAAATATAATGGGATTTTTATTAGGTTTCATTAAAAATTAATTCACACAAATGGAAATTCGCTTAGTCGGCAGGTTTGCTGCAGTGGGGGTATTTTATATATGAAAATGAAGGTTAGAATCTCCTCTTTAAGAAAATAATAGTTTTATGGTATTTTCTATTCAATAAATTATTATATTTTGCTACTGAAGGTAGCAATGTTAAAGAAGGTAGGTAGCGGTTTTATGAGGCAAGGTTAAGGTTATACCCCTTATTAGATTTGGAAAGTAAAAAGAGGTGATAAAAAATGGCAACAGGGCGATTATTACTAACAAACGTATTGTTAAGCATGGAAAATCAACAAATCAATTTTAACACTCCAATCGAGCCAGAGTCTGAATACTTACAAACCACCCCGCACTAAGAGACCAGTGTAGTATAGAAAAACTTTACAAAAAGTGATAACTTTTTCCTAAAAATCACAAATTCAAATTTCCATTGCCAAATCAGGGCTTATGCAGATGTTTCATCTCAATGAATTTGTACAATTAATATTGGAAATTTAACGAGGATTCTAAAAATGACACTGCATTTGGAATAAAAACAATATTTAGTGCACTTATGGCCATTTTATGTAAGCAAGTACAAATATTTTGAAAAAATCTTAAATTGTCCGTTATTCCCTACCTGCGAGGGTATGGAAACTTAAATTGGTGCCATTTTGTCACCAATACTTAGTAGTTAAACACATAAAATTTTTTAACACTACCTAATTTAGTTCCACCCTGTATAAAGACTAGATAAAATTAAAAATTTTATAAAATAATTTTAAAATAAACCTGATTTTAAAATTCCAAGATTAATTCAGACACCAAATGACACTACCATACTGTTATAAAGTTCAATTTATTCCCTACGTAGAAAAACCACAAGTTGTTTACTTTTAAGTGTGATAACATAGAGAAATAGGCTACCTATGTTTGTTTTTACCAATACTCTACCGCACCTGATTTTGGGTGATATCTGGTTTCCATGGCAGCACAGCATTGTTTGTTATTCACAAAACTAAATTAGTAAATATGTAAAACAAGAAGCAAGATATATTTTATAAACATTATAAAAGTAAGAAGAAACAAAAAGGGTGAAAAATAATGATTAAATAACAAGTGGCGCTGCGTAGTGGCTATATATGTGTCTGTTAGCACGATAACTCGAGCAAAAATGATCCGATTTTCATGAAATTAGGTGTAAACCTACGTTTATTCCAACAAGTTCACGATCCAGCATAATCGGACCATGGGAATGGGGGTTTATGGGGGATTTTATGGGGTAAAAATAGGGTTTAACCCATTTTTTACCCTAAAAACAAAACATTTTGCAATTTCTTTTTAAACCGTTTTGTAGAGCTTAAAAAAAGAAATAAGTTAATTTAGTATATTAAGGCGTTATGGTATGCCTTACGGTCACGGAGAAAATTCAAAAATAATGTAATTTAAAAAATTCCCATGTTATTCTTAAGGAGAAAATGAAAATTGTTGTAGTTTACTTGTTTATCGATATATATTGATAAAATTTGGCAAATTTATTTATTTCATCCTATACTATTGACGTAGGCCTATGGTCAAAAAACACTTTTTACCTTCCCCGTAGCAGCAAACCTAAGCACTCGTTAAATCTAATATTATTTAAATATGGAATAAATATGTCTTATTTATAGAAATATTTTAGTAAAAATGTAATCATACATGATACATGATCTCTCTGTCCATAGTCCTTTGCCTTAAGGAATTGGACAGGTCCAGGGCCGAACTTACCTAGGGGCGGACGGGGCGAGCGCCCGGGGCCCCCGGGCCTAGGGGGCCCCGAAGGGGCCCCTTGCACAGTAGTTTTTATTAATATCTTCGAAAATTAATCAGACACTTACCGAATGATCTTCTTTTTTAACAGCTTTATTGTCGTTATCCTATATTTAAGGTTATTGTTAGATGAACTTTAAGGTATTACTAGGACCAAAATTCTTGACTCTAAGGGACTTTTCCTCAGGGTTGCACTGGGCCCCGCTCTTAGACCTAGTTTACACGAGCATAGCTGCTAGGCTGTGACGGACCAGTTTGAGTTTCAATGAAGCCGTTCACACAAACCTACGGCCGCGGTGATCAAGTTGAAGGGGGCCCCTTCGCTTGGGGCAAAAAATACAATAAATAATATGAAAACTCTTGTCCTAACGTAGAACGTAACTTGACCAATTGTGTTGGGGTTAAATGGAGATTCAATTGAGATCTAATACTTTTGAAAAATAAAAACATTGTTTGAAAAATATGTTTTATTAGATGTTATTCTTTTACCTCTAAGTATATGCCATTCGCGATTTTAAGGGGCAGAAGTATTATATTACCCATTCAATTAAAAGGTTTTATAAAATAGTAATTAAGTTATACGTCGAAATTCGGATCTTCAATTTAGTCGATAGAATCAAAATCATACAGCGCCAGTAGGATAAAAAATCTATATAGACATTTTATGACAACTAGGGTCGTCTGATGTTAACAAAAATTACATTATTTGGGAGCGGGCGAGCGTTGTCGACTGAAATCGTAAAAAAGTGCTCAACAAGCAGCTGCAACAATACATGATAATGAGCTGATAAGGGATCCTGTCTAGTCTTGTCTGTCTCACGCACGCGCATACACATACATACAATGCCTTATCGCCAATCCAAAACAATTTAAATCACTTTACTCCCAGTGTGTTTTTGGTTGACATTGTCGTACTTTTGTGTTGTATTTTATTATTAATTCTGCAAACACTACAAAGAACAAATTAATGTTGTATTGAATGTTATGTTTGTGTTGTATTGATTTATATTGAATACATTTAAACATCTTTCAGTTTACTCATATAAATGGTTAGCTTGTGATTGGTTTTTAGACTTGTATTGTAACATTTTACTCGTCAAGAAAAAACTCAAACTCGTTAAAGTTCTTAATGGTACTTTTCATGCTAGGACTTTTAACATATTATACAAACGAGAATTCCATGCCAAAACCACTATGAAAATAAACATAAGTCATAGTTTATGATTTTATAGTTTTAGTGCAGCCAAGAAATGTAGGAAAAGCAGGAGGATTTAATTGCCATGCTAACGTGACCAACGTATCAGAGTAGGAAGTGACATTTATTTATAGGGAAAATAACTATGTTCTAAAATTTATAATGATTAGGCCTAATCTATAAAAAGTAAACTTTTAAATTGTTTTGACTTGTATCTTATAAACTTAGTACAGTAAAAGGTTTGTTAGTAAAATTATAGTAAGTTATAAAATATATTAAAGCTTTAAAAGTTTATGCATTATCTCTGACTTACATCACTCGTTTAAATATAACTTATTCCATTAATTAATGTTAGTTATTTTTAATTTGAGTTTTCATTCAAGCACCAAATAGAATGTGTATTACAGTAAAAAAATTAAATTAAACCTTTTACGAGTACGTGTTATTTTATTTTTATTTTATCTATAGTTTTCATTATTTGTTGCAAAGGATATTACATTTTAATGTATTGCAAAAAATGTGTAAGGTACCTGCTAAGTATATTAAAATTTTATAAATACAATTACAACAAGAACAAATCATAAAATAACACCGTACATTGTAGCTATTTTCAGACTTGAAATATTACATGCAATTAGTTTATGCAAAATACAGCATTCTAACAGGTTTACATATTAATTCACCTTGAAATTAGCTATTTAAAATTAGTGTGCATGTAAATGCGTTACATTGTGTACCGTATATGTTCTCGTATAATCATACTGGGGGGCCCCATCGGCAAATTCGCCCGGGGCCTCTGAAGTCCTAAGTCCGGCCCTGGACAGGTCAGGGTTAATACAAAGAATAACCAACTTAATAGGCCTAATAATTTTTGTCACTGTCTAGGTAACTGTCTATGTCCTCTAAACTTATCTTAACTCTACTAGATATTTTTTTAATCCTGATTTGAATTTTGTTAAGCTCTGAATTTCAAGTATTTTTTTCGGTAGGGCCTGGTACAATTTCATTCCCATGTAATCTGGTTTGTGTTCAAATTTTGTGAGTTTATTTATCAGTATATTTATTATCAGACAAGTTGAAATTTGCTTAAGTTTAGTCTGCAGGTTTGCTGCGGCGGGGGTATTTTTTATAGCTATAATGCCGTACACAACTTAAAAATGCTAAGTTAGGCTATCTACACTGTTTTTGCAGGCTATAGCAAATTTGTTACAAATAAAATTGAAGATGTAGCCTATGTTCAATCAAATGTAGGCCTAACCTAATGCTGACATTTTAATAAAAAAATGCTTGACTTAGAGAATAAAATGTTTGCCATAGTTGTCTGAGAGTTTGTAGCATTTAACTGCTAAAACAAATTTCATCCCAGCCTATACCCTGGTTTAAAGTACCATGCAGTCTAAGTAAAGGTTTCTTTTTTTCAGAATCAAAGTAACTTCTAACTTACATGGTTAGGATTGTTTCCACAACAAAACTTGTATTCCTGATTGATGATATGTTGGATAGTGTTTCTATTTCAAATAAATTCACCTGCAACACCAAAAGAAATTAAGAAAATTATGCCTGCCATGCTGAAGCAAGAGGAAGGCTCACTAACTATTGAAGAGTTCCTGGAACAACCTGTGATAAGTCTGTAACTTTACATCTAAATCTGTTAATAACTTCTATATCGTCTATTTTTGTTTTCTTCAATTTAGTTAATTGTTTAAAGTCTATTGTGATTGTTAACCCTGTAAGTACCGGTAGTTGAAAGGAATTTGTACAACCATCATAGCCTGATAAATTAGCGTAGCCATTTTAAACTCAGAGCCAATGTCAACAAAAGCAAGCCTAGGTAGACGATAGACCTGGCTACAATGCTTATTGCTTAGCCTCTATTTGCATGTACTAGGCCTAGGCCTAGACCTCATCCAAACTATAGCATAGAGCAAGAACTCTAGGCCTAATCTGGCTTCAGAGACCTGTATTGAAAGGAAAGTTTTACATAAAAACTGTAAGTTTAAGCAGCCCATGTTATTAGCCTATGGTGGCTACATGAACAATGAAATGTCCACTGACTTAATTTCAAGTTTAGCCTGCTAAACGTTAGGCCTAAAAACCAACATAAATTTAAATTGATCAAATCTTGTTTCTTATCAGATTAACAACGTTCCTTAATGGGCAACTTATTCTCTGGTGATATATAGAACTAAAAAATGGCCAGTTGGATCATTGGTTCTTTTAAGGCTAAGTGCAGAATGAATGGGAAGTAGGCTAGACTAACCAGAGTGTGGTAGAAGTAGTAGGCTATAGTTCGATTCCTACTACGGTCGGTAGGCCTAGGTCTAAGTTGAATAAGAATAAGAATAAGAATATTTATTTTCCTTTAGACAAGTACATGAATTTGGAATCGTCATAATAATCACAAGGCAAATTCAACAATTAACATGCTTCTACAACACTATCAAAATTTCTACAATAAATAAATAAATATATAATAATAAATAATCACTTTATGTTCACAACTAAAACTAAAAGATGCAAGGTCTAATAATTACACATGCAGGTCAAATAAATATCACATATCAAGAGTCAAAACTTAAAAATAGGTACTTACGGATGCTGCTGGTATATTAAAAAAAATCATTCCAGGAATACAGTGGGTTGGCCAATATAAGAAGAAATTAGGTGGTAAGTTAAGCTTAACCTAAGTACCAGTAACTTAGCCTAAAGTACTAACTAGGCATGAAAGTGTAGCTTAGGCAAATTCTGGAACATCAAAGATGTCTGAACAAGCCTTGTTTTTAACTAGACTAGTCTCAAAAAATTAACATAAAACGTAGGCTAGGCCTAGGCATATAACTTAACTTAAGTTTAAGTTAGTCATAATTCTTACCCATGATAAACATATGGATGGCCAGAGAACCGTAGCACCATTTGATTTCGCACTTGTCATTGTAATAATAACTTACGCTTAGGCCTATGCTACTAGGCTATTTAGCTTTACGATTTAAATTTTTAAGTCATATATATTGTAAACATTTGACGCAATTAAGCATTAGGCCTCCTGCACAAATAACACGACACGGATTAGGCCTACTCTGTCATTAAATTATTTTAACTCAAACCAAATAAAAAATGTTATAGTAGGCCTAAGTTAATAAATGCGACCACCGAACGCTAAAACACAACAGTATCCTACGACACACAACGAATCACACGAAAACAATATTTCTTGTTTCTGTTTTCTGTTCTGTCGGTCAACAATAGATTTAAATTCAAATTATTTTATTGTTGATGTTCCATGTCCATGGAAGAATGAAATTAAATTAGAATTACAACAATTAATAATTGAGAAAGCCATAAAAAGTCTGGTAGGCCTATCTGTTTGCAGCAAAGAGGAAATTCAGAAAGGGATTTAGAATACACTCTTGTCATGTCATTGATTATAAGGCAATCTAATGTTTAATATTAATAGTATTAAAAACATGTTGTGTTTTATTTGTTTATTTTATCATCTATATAAAGCTAGGATGTATTTGAACTTTTGAGGAAACTGAAAGCCGTACACATATCAACCCATACTGAATGAAAGGGTTGGTTTGAAAATCCCCAAAAATGTCAGTTTTATCGGTAAACCCTCTCTATATAAAATAAAAGGGATATTATATCACATCTATATAAATAAAATTACAGTTTTGTCTGTACATTGCTTAGAATCATGCAGTTTTTGGTTATTTTTACGTTTCATAGCCTAAGAAAGCCAAAACGAGTCTTATCTCAATTTCTGTCTGTTTGTCTGTTTGTCCATTCTGTGACTCCGTCTGTAACGCCAAAATGTCATTTTACGTGGCCTACTCCTAGAAAGCTAGAGTACCGGTCAAGGTTCTAATCATTTTTCTGTATTTACTGGATTGGTGAGAGTGTCTTTGGCTATAAAAACATGGCCTCGCTTCTTTGAAAACAAAATAACGAACCACCAAAAACCCAATTTTGTTCGATTTTTGTCAAATTTGTTCCCAATGTTTACTATTGCATTTTATGAAATAACGATCAGCTGTTTGGATTAGTTCTCACTTCTAGCTGTCACTGATATGTTTACATTAAAAGTTTTTACGCCACACTATATTATTTTGACGAACTTCCCACGCAAGTATTTAGTCCTGAAAACAGCTGTTTGCCGCCAGGTTATTCAAATGGGGTTTCATTGCGTACTACTGTACTGTAATGAGTTTTGCCGGACACCAATCAGCTGATTGTACTGTATTTAGTATTTAGGCATCGATATATAACTACTACTGGATTGCGCGCTGTCCATAAGAGCTGTGTAGAGAAATTCGGTCGCGTACAGGTGTGAGTGGCGGGACGTATCGCGGTGTTGCAGGCGCCCGGTAGGGGCAAAACAGCAACTCGCGCCGCCGCCCGCTGCTATTCCCGCCAACGAACTATCTCGCCAAAAAAATATTCCGCCACTAGCAACCCCGCCAAATCTATAATAGTTTTTTTTTTTACAATTCGAGGTCATGTACGAAGAAGCAAAAGTAAACCACCTGTGAATGAATCATCCTGCCAGTTATTAGTGGACGGATAGCACTTTCACGTGGTAGTTTGGTTAGCAATGTATGAATTAATGAAATATGAAATAATGATTTATTCCACCATAATTACATTACATACAAATGAAATAAAAACTTGGAATTACGTTGCCACAGATCCAGTTAATGTGGCAACGTTCAATAAAAATTAACAATATAAAGTACATTCTATAAACTTTCAGTACAGTCCACACATGAAAAACACCTTGCCGCTCTCTGTGGCGTCTTGACGACATTTGTTAAATTAAACAAAATAACAATATTATTACAATAATAGATATTTACAACAAACATATATTAAAAAATTAATCCTATATAAGCAGTATAAAATCATGTAAATCAACAATTTAAAACAAGATATGCAGATTTGATAATTAAAAATCAAAAGGTCAAAATTCTTCAACTGCGGCTAAACAGAAGATATGCTAGGATAAAATCCATGCGTGAAATGATTGTAGTGTTTAAGAAAAAAAAACTTAAAGCACCTGATAGGTTAATAGAGGTTTTAGAGGGAAAGTTTTCAGGATTTCCGTTAGATTTAATTGCCTCAAAACACAAAATTTCCCGATTTCTCTTTAGACCTTTTTAAAGAGCTTAAAAAAAAAATTTGCATATAAAAGTATTTTTGTTTGATTATTGGTAATGGAGAAAATTAAAAAATTGTAAATTTAAAATTCCCATGTTATTCTTATGGAGAATATTGTCAAATGTTGATGTTTGCTTGTTTATGGATATATTTAGATCAAACTTGGGAAACGTATTTATTTTGTACTAAGCTATCAATATTTTACTCAAAAACACACTTTATTAGTTTCCTTGTAGCAGCAAACCTAGGTACTCGTTAAACCTAATGTTATTAAAATATATTTAACTGAAAATCAATTCAGACAAATGGAAATTCGCTTAGTCGGCAGGTTTGCTGCGGCGGGGGTATTATTGTTAGAAAAATATTAGGTACAGTAACATGCGAAGAATATGTTAGTCTTTTGACAGCTGACGAATGCAATTTAAGTAGCTACACCCATATGTCTAACGTTGACTTTGGAGAGGACACGCACGAAATTAAGCTGATAAAGTTAATCGGAAATTAGTTTTTTAAATAATTTGATACAGTCATGCTAAAGAGCAAACCATTGCACTGTCAAAAGTTGGTATTCGTCAAAAGCTAACATAATTAGTACTTTTTAATCATGCGTGAAATGTAGGCTACTCTGTGTGGTACTGTATTCAAATAAATGGGTTTTATACAAATATACTGTATTTTTATTGTTTAATTTATCAGCCTTTTTATAAAACCCATAACCCAAACCATCCAAGCAATTTTTTAAATACAATTACTATGTTATCGCCCAACTTTATAACAATGTAAATACACGTTGTACTGTATAGCAATTAATTGATTACTACCTTATATACTTTCGGTTTTTAATATAACTAAATAAGCGAGTCAAAATATCCCCCGATGAAAATTTTTCGTGAATCAATAGTTGAAATAGGGTAAACAAATGATATCACAGCGTCAGTGCGATGTAAAACCCAAGCACCGTGCGGGTTTCTTGCCCCTACCCGACGCCTTCAAGTGCAGAACGCAACCACTGAATTCGGCTCGGGCTAGCGAGCTCAGCCAGCAATCCAGTAGTAGTTATATATCGATGTATTTAGGTGGCAATGAGTGGTTATAAACAAAAACATAACCTCTCATTGACTAGTGGTTTTTAGTCCTTTAGTTGGTGGAAATATATAAGGATTTGTACAGATTTAGTAGTATGGCGTAAACTATCGTACGTAACTCGTCCAAAATGTGTATACCGGACTAGTATGGTAATCCCGTACTCGACTTCGTCTCGCACGGGAACGACCACACTCGTCCGGTAAACACTTATTTTCAGGACTAGTAACGTAATATACTATTACCAAATACCGCAACCATTTCCGATCAAGTTTTGTCAGCACATCCAAACCAAGTGAGATTAAAAACGTTGTGCCTTAACCGGTTTAATTAATCGCAAATGCAACGATTGTTCTTGAGTTTTGATAACCGGGGAAAATACCTTATTACCTTATTGCCTTATTACCAAAGCTGCGTTGTTGACCAGCATAGCTGGATAAACTGCGTCAATTTTTTTTTTAAATATAAATATTAATTATTTACAACAAATAAAACTTTTATCTTTCAAGAAAATAAATTTGAAAGTTTCAAAAATAAAAATAAAAACTTGGCGGGTGACTACGGAGGTGATTGTGCACTCTACCATTTGTCCTCAAAATACTCTCTCACGGAGTAGGGAGTCATACCTAGGTCCACCGCGGTCAATCTCCCCCGCGCTAGTTTCCGCAAGGTCTGCGGCCGGCGGAGCATGAGACCAACAATCCCTCCCACTTGCCTCTGAGTCGCACAGTTTGGTTTGGCCGACCAAACCAAACGGTGCGGCGGACAACTGGAGACTACTTCACTCGTAACTACGCCTGCAAAATGTAGGATACTTTACCAAAGCACTGCTGTATTGCGGGCTGACTAATGAGACCGTTTTCTGTAAAGTAGTAATTGTACAAATTACCGTACACTTGCTTGGCTACGAGAAAATAATTATTCAATTGTCATATCTATTCCACGATTATTAATGGTTTTGAAATCCATACACCACTTTACTCACTAATATTAATGGTACAGATTAAGCACATAACATTAGAATAATAATTCACTTTAAACACAAATGCAAATTGTTAACGACAACATTATTACATTTATTCATTAAAGACAAATCAATCAAATAACAATAAGCCGTTTAATTACTAACACAAAAGGTTTCGTATGATTAGATTATGCATACTGATAAACCACCTATGGTCATCTATAATAATATTTATTTGGGTTTTCTTTTCCGAGTCGGGTTAGCTCTTCTACTCGGCCGATTTTCATAATTTTGGCCTCAAACTAAAGGTATGGACGCACTACAGATTTGCAATCAAGAATCGGCATTCATTTTTATTGACGTATATTTCGAGTTATGCAAAACTCATAAACTAACTCGTTCATAAACTAACCTCATAGTTCTTAGAATATTTGTATATTCAACCAGCTGATAGTTATAACAAATTATATTGCACTAAAACAAACTAAAGATTTTATAGACTGTTGAAAAAATAAATTAGAACATCTATTATTTTAATTTTACTTTGTACTAGCTGTTCTACGTACGGGAATCTTGTAGTAAGTTGAAACCTTATATTCAGAACAGGAGTTGGTCTGCATATTTAGTGTGCATTTTTCCAGATATGCTAGCAAAACTATTACTGTATAGGAATACATATAATCCTTCGCAAATACAATATCTGACAGTTTCAAAGCCAGAACGAATGCTTCGCAATTAAATGTCACCCGATCGTGTTAGTCCATATTTTATATCTAATGATAAAAGGAATTGCTTTATAGATCTATAGCCCTAAGGTAGACCTGTAATTGAAAGTTACTTTTCACACTGATTAAAAAAAGTTAAAAAAACTACCTCAACCAAAAACTACTGCACACTTTATTCGGGTTGAAATTTTCAATAACAAAGGTGCTCTTGTCTTTTCCAAGAAACACTGAGAAATAAGGAC